GAACGATTATTGTTATTGTGTAGAATTGGTTTCCTACAAGAGCTTGTGGAGGTGTGAGACTCTACAAGAACTTGTGGGAAATGGTTATGGTTGTAAAGAGTTTGTTAATACCAGAAACGATTTTCTATAAAAGCTTGTAGAGGTATGAGACTTTGCAAGAACTTGTGGGAAATGATTTATGGTTGTAAATGATTTGTTAATTGTAATTTGGTGTTATTACTTCACTTAATTTATTGCTATTGTTTAAACTTGAGATCAATTGAAATGTTCCTGTTTTCTTTTAAAAATTAATATATGATATTTGCGAAATGAGACCGACTTGTTTTACATGTTTTTTAAACCTTGTTTGAGTTTGGGAGGAATGTTGCTATAGAGCTTAGTGCTCACCCCTTATAAACAATATATTTACAGATTCCGCGTTAGATGAGGAGCTCAGAGTCAACGAACAGGTGCATTGGGAAGCTCCGCTAGATGGGCACGAGGAACCCGAGGTGGATGGTTAGGGCTATACTCTCCTAGGGCTAAACTAGAAAATTTCAATTTGAGACTCGGTGAAGTCTAATATTTTTGTTATCCCGCTGCAAGTTAAATTTGATTCTTTTTGATGTAATTGCCATGGTTGGACATATTCTTTTGGGATGATGTTGTAAATATTAGATATGATGAATGAAGTTTTATTTATTGATGGATTATATTAGTTGTTATCATGATGTGAATGATATTAAATTGTAATGCCGTCCAAGGTGGTTTTTTGGGGCGTGACAATAACCGATATTTTTCAACCCATACAAAGACCACCCAACCCATAATATCCTTATGCTCAATTGCTTGATCTGTATGACGTAGGAATAGAGTTGACAGGTAATCCAGAGTGTTTATGGGGAAGGCCACACAAATATAGAAAGTAAGGGGACTTAACGGACAAGTACCGAATTTTGAATTTGATTATAGTAAATAGTTTGTTACCCCAAGCCCAGAAAAACCAAATCTATATTGAGCAGGCCTACTTCTTGGATGCCTTTGGGATGGGACACTGAGCAGGCCTACTTCTTGGATGCCTTTGGGATGGGACACACGATTGATCTTTCGAATCCCATTATGATCAAATGTTGCTTACTATGTAAAAAAGAAACCTTACTCTCATATGCTATGTTTGTTTCTCTATTATGAAGGGACAAGAGAGTGATTGCAGATCCTACAAGAAAAATGGTGGATCATTTTGCACCGTTAGATAAAACTTCTTTGAAGAAAAGCCACGGGGTTCAACCTAAATATCAACCCGAAGTACCACCAGCACCACAAGAAGAGCCATTCCAAGCACCTAAAGAATTTTTCCCACCAGAGTAGCCTCCACAAGAAGATGATCATCCATACATACCAGTGGATGTTAGGACCGACATATAGATCTTACTAGGATTGGAAACCACTGTCACCCAACTTGGTACTAGCATCACCCAAATTAATCAACATATGGATAATTTTGAGCAAAACCAAGCTAAAATTGAGGTTATTCAGAGAGCGTTTTGGTGGAGGTCCGTCTATATCTTGATCAAAGAACACTGGAGATTCTACAAAAGCTTTGTTATCTTTCACTCATATTTTATTTATGCACTTGAATTTACTTTATGTTTTGAACTTGTTTTTGGTTTTAAACTTGTTCTTATTAGTAAGTTTATTTTTGTTAGTTAATGTGGAACTTATGTTCTTAAGTTAGGAAGATTATTTCATATGTTCTTAAGTTAGGTTAATATTCCTATGCTTTAAAAGAATAGTCTTAATCTGATCACGGGGGATTTTCATATTTTAGTTGTATATTATCTTAATTTTTTTGTTTAAACTTACTTTATCGATCACAAATAGATTTCTTTATACTAACCTTAAGACATATTAAACTCTTTGCATATATAGTGGAGATGTAAAACCAATTGCAGAATTTGAGCTAATTTTTCTCGGAGAGATATTCTACATCTACTTAAATAAGAATCTTTGATTTAAAGACAAATTTTCTTTGAATAATCTCATTAGTTTTGTTTTTGATTAACACTCATTGAATTGTATTGTTAGCATTTTCTTTAAAATTTTTATTTAGAGATTGTACAGGTGTATGATATTTGAAAATTGATCTTAGGCCATTTTTGATAAATTTTGAGCCTTGACCATTTCTTTTACAAAATTATATCCTTAGTAAGCCGTGATTGAGCCTAAAAGAGTATAAATTCTTTTCATGAAACCCAAAAAATACTCAAGCCACATGAAAATATATATTAAACCTACATTTGCTATCTAATTTTCTTGAACCCTCTTCTAAATTTGTATGGTACAGAAAAGCACAAGAAAAAGACAAGGTGGAAAAGAGCTAGGAAAAGGGTGATTATTGTTCAAAGAAAAGGAAAATTTGTGAAAGAAATGTAAAGAAGAAGAAAAAAAGAAAAGAGTCAAGAAAGTAAAAAATGGAAGAAATAAAATGAAAGAGTGTGAAAATCTTAGAAAACCAAGAAGAGGTGCGCCACAATATAAAGGGTAGCATTTGTGTCCCATTGACGTCGTTTCTTAAATCCTAAACCAATAGCCACATTATAACCCTAAGAAAGTCCTTTTTGATTCCAGAGATCATGCATTAGTATTAATCCTATCAATCCAAAAAAGGAGAATGTTGATAATATGTTCAATGTGGTGTTAATATCCTTTCATGAGATTATGTCAAATTTCAGTTCTTTTCAAAATAATTGTTCTTTTGATATATTACATGTGATATTATTTGCTTTGTTAACAATATTCCAATCATATGTAATTACTGAGTGAACAGTCACTATAACATATGTGTATTTGTTGCTGAGTGTATCCCAGGGAAGGATTGACATCAAGACTACCATGAAAGATGGTAATATTTCCTAAGTGATTTTTGAGATAAAGAAATCATTGCACGTGTACGCACACACATACACACACAAGTTTTTATAAAAATATATGAATAATATTACAACTAACGTTTGTTACTATTATAGTGATCAGAAAAAGAAAATATTCTAACAATGCAGAGGAATATTGATTTAATTTTATTTGTAAAAAGTATGAATTATAAACTCATAACTATCAAAGTTTGTAGGGAGCTTCACTGAAAACCTTCACGAGACAAAACTCATCCACTAGGGATCATCTAGGGGTTTAACGGCTTGTTGCATATGCTAAATGCAATCGTGATAATCTACGAAAGTGATTTCATTTTATTTTTGTTAATAGTTTTTGTTTACTGGGAACTAGTAAAATTTAGGTTGGGGAGTGTGATTAATCCTAAGTAGTATGTAAATTAAAATAATTAAATAAGTAAATTTTGTAAGATAAAACAATTAAAAACTATAGATTAGGGTTTGTGCATAAGCTAGGGTTTTATGAGTGTAATGTCTAAAATTTCAATGTTTTTTTGCGAAATTGTCGGAAATCATGAGGAGCAATCTGTCAAAGCTTGAAACAACAAAGGAGGCAAGTGCAATTCAAGAAAAGAACATGCAAGAACATTATGGAATCTCCACAACCTTTCCAATAAAAGAGCACCGTTCTGACGGTGGTGGTGTCGTTTGGATGGTTGCTATAGATGGTTCAAGGTTATCCTCCACCTTCTGCTTTCACATTTTGCCTATAAATAGGCCTCTTCATCCATTATAATTGAGAGTTGGGGGGTTGGAGTTAGATTTTGAGAGAGAAAAGGAGAATCCAAGGGAGAAAAAGAAAGAAAAAAAGAGGGAAAGTCAAAGAAAAATTCAAGAACCCAAAGGAGGATCCTGTCCGACCTACTCACCAATCAGAACTCTATCATTTCTACATTTCTGTTATGTTTTTTCTACTTGGAGAATTGAACTTCTACCACCTTTGTGTCGTAACTAATAGTAAGGGTGGTTGTATTTTAATTATTCCTTGCGAAAAAAGTGTCAGTGTCTATATTTTTTTTAGTATTGTAATGAGAATTACCCACATTTTTTGCTTGTTTATAGCAATGGAGTGTGAGTAGTTTACTTGTACCCTTCAAGGAAGGGTGAACATATGTATATTATTGGTTAAATTATGGAAATGTCGATGTTTAATTATGCTATATTGATATATATACCTCCCTTAACTGATGGATGATTATATTTATAGTATGCTCATGGTTATGAACACCAAGCAGTACTTAATATTCTATATCATATTATATACTATTATGTACTTCATGCATGATACAGTGATGTACGTAATTGGGTGTTACATGAAAGTTGATTGATTGGTTATAAACAGGTTAAGTCTTGGTATATCCAATTCTTTCAGTACAATATGTAGCCCGAAATTATGTCATCAATGAATCATCAACCTGCCATTGAAATATTTAAAGTGTTCCATTTAAATGGCTTGACCTTCTGGCGCACTAAGGATATTTTACTGTTGCATTGTATAAAACTGTTGGACGAATAACCTAAGTGTTCCATTTGAATGACTCGACCTTTTGATTTACTAGGGTTGTTTAACTGATATATAAAACTACCAATTGAGTAATTCTAGTATTCCTCCTGAATGGCTTGACTTTCCGGTTTACTTGAATTAGTCAATTGTTGCATATACCTACCAACCAACCTATGAAGTTGTTATGGTATAATTTAATATACATTAGCTCTACCAGTTGACTTTTTAATGACGTAGAAGTTAATTGTTGTAAGGTGGCATTTCTAGTATTTAACCAATATAAAGCATATGAAATCCTTAAACTTAACGGTACCTTTTATATTAGCGTCTTTTAACAGTTAACCTACGCATTTTATTTATTTAGACTAGTTATCAATCTAACTTACATCACAAACTATCTTATGTTACACTGCTTTAACAACAACCTCACTATTCCTATTTTAAATTTCAATTATTAAAATTGTTCGTGGGATCGATCTTGGACTTAAACAGAGTAAACTACAATTCGACAACTTATACTTGGGTATATGATATGAAGCAGGTCACGAAATAGGTTGAATCAGACTTCCTCACATGGGTGTTTTAAGGATAGACCGTGGTGTTGGGGGAGGTCTTTGGTAATGCAATGCCTTCACAATGACTCCTGGGATGATCTCCATCACCTTCCCTCTCAGATTTGTTTTCAACAAATACAAGTCCTCATCCCTCACCCCTAGCTTTTGATCAAACTCCCTACAGATGGGAAGTACAAATCTCCCAACGGGCTTGAACCAAACATTGATGCCATGACCCTCTATCACTTGAACCACGTCATCGTTTGGCCTGAGGGTGGGCCTATCTACTTGCAACTTGCACGTCTCAGTTTTTCCCTTTATACTCTCTGTTGGAGCGTCATTCTTCCATTTCTTCCTTTGTTCCCCACCACTGGGGCCTACTTCCTCGGTCCTCTTTCGGGATCCGATTCCCGTTGGTGGTGGAGAGTCGGGGCCCGTTTGCTTGGTATTAGCCATCACTATGAAAAATGACCCTAGGGTGACAAATGGCAACAACCAACCCCACACTACATCAAAAATGCCAAAGGATGCATGAGAAGACTTATCAATCGAGCCATTCCTCCAAATTCCAAGTTTCAAGTGAAAATCAAGGTTTTTGATGGACTGGTGATGCTTTGTGGAGGAAAGAAGGGTTTTTCTTGGGAAAATGTCAAGGAAATGAGGAGTAATCGCTGTGAATCAACAACTTAGGGAAGATAATCGGTGGATTTGATGAATGCCCAAGGTCTTTTTAAGTATTTGGAGGGTTTTGAGAGAGGAGAGAGGGTTTTTAAGGTTGAGATGGATGAGATAAGTGAAGGTTTTCATCGAATTTATGAGTTAAAAACCTTCGTTTTTGGGTTTTTGGGCAAACCTACCAGTAGGTCGTTAAGGTTCTACCGGTAGAACAGTGTACTAGAAAATTTCTACCGGTAGGTTTTGCAATCTTCTACCGATAGGTTTCAATTTTTTGCAAAAATTTTCCTACGCTCTCATCATCTCCCCCACTCCAAGTTTATTCAACTCCAACACATTCTAATGACCTATTTACTAACTCAACTTCACAAAAAACATGATACATGCTAGTTAACCACAATGTGTGACCATGCCCAAATTCATTTACGAAATTGCAATGCGATTTGAGTTTTGATGCTTTCAAAACACATGACATGGAATTCTAAATTCAATAAAATGAACACCCAATATGTAAAGCACAAACTATAGTACAAAAGGCATTCCTATTTCTTTCTCATATCTAAAATTTGAGCAATATTCCCTTATCCTACTAGCTCAGGGTTGCCTGACACAATTTTTCAAACACCCAAAGCAATCACACATGAGTTTCATCATAGCTTAAATGCTATTCTAGAGTATACACCTACACATTTCTTTTCAAACTCATGTGTGTGTGAAATGAACATGTAATTTAAGCATTTGCTCAATGGAATCCACATTCACTTAGCTATCTAAATTCAGTTTTGATGCAATTTTCACCAAGGGTTTCCCTAAAAAATGAATAACTCTATGATTATCTTGGCATCCTCTCCATATGTATGTGTGAGATAGAATCTAGTCCACAAACCAAAATTCTCACATATAATTCAAAAAATGACGTGCATGCATAACGATAGAAACGACCTTGACATAATCTCATGAATGGAATGTTAGGGCATTAGATAGCAAAACCAATTTTTCTTTTCATTTAAAGTGTGCTCTCAGCATGCTTTCTCTAGATCATTTAGGGCTTTTATAGGTTGTAATGAGGCCTTGGGCTGATATTTGGGTTGAGTGAAACGAAGGATAGAGGGAGACAAAAAGGGTTATTCCGAGGGGATGACCTTTATTGTAAAAAATCTCCTTTTTTGGGGAATTCTCGGCATTTCACATTCACATCAATTGTTATGTCTCTTTTTCTTCTTCTTTTCCTCAATATTTTTTTTCTCGTTTTCCTTTCTTTTCAACCCCCTTTTTCTTCGATTTTTCTTTTCTTTTTCATTCAAAATTTGAATTCAGCGCCATTCATCCCTTTTTGGATTTCCTCACCACATTTCCCTTTTATCATGATTAATCACAGTCAGTCTTGGAACAACCAAGATGTAGTAATTGTAATCATTTTGCACTGACTTGGTAAAACACGTGGCATGAAAATGAATTTTTAATTAAGGCCCAATCACGGCACTAGGAATAAATTTTTCACAAGAAAAAAGGCTAAGGCTCAACGCAATTCAAAGATGACTTAAGATCATCTCCAGATAAGTATGGAAAGGCATATTGGCATTTTAAGATAAAGTCAATTAGCTATCCACATGCACTCTAACCAAAGTAAGCATATTGAGATTATTTAATGAATTTTGAATTTGAAAAATATTCCTTTGAGTAAATGTAAGTTCCCTCCAACAACGATTGACACTAAAGTTCACATGGGTACTTACTTCATCTCCACTATGTATGTCAAGTTCTAAAATATGGATCCAATCAATAAATTGACAAAATTACATATTCAAGGTGCACTATGGTTCTCTAGCATAGGATAAATTTCTATGATGTACTAATGAGTTCAAAGTTCAAAATGAAGATCAACTATCACTAGACCCAAAACACTTTGAATAGGGAAATATGGTTCAACATTCAAATATTTTTCAATTTTTTTTAAAATTTTTTCATCTATTTCTATACTATACAAAAAAATGGTAGAATATGTGAATGGTGCATTTCACCACAAAATGGTATTATTAACAAAAAATTGGTGTCTCATACAAGTGGTGTACCTCATCCCCCAACTTGAACTACAACTTGTCTTCAATGCAACGAAAAGATATGGGATGTAATGATGGAATTAAAAAGCCAAGAAGAGTAAGAGAACGCCTTGTAATGAGCTTTGACAAAAACACCACTATCTGCATATATGAAAAAAGGACACTATCCACATATGAAAGTGAGTAAACAATTTAACTTGCAAAGTAAAGAATAAAGGAAAACAATTGTACACTAATATCTACTTGAACACTTACGCCTCAACAGGGCCCAGATAGACCTGATCCACCAACTTCTCTTCCACTATTTGAATTTCAAAATCCTCGAAGAATGGTTTAATCCTTTGGCCATTGACCTTGGATGTTTTACCATCTTTAGGGTTTTTTATGTCCACGACTCCGTTTGGGTAGGCCACCTTGACAATGTAGGAGTCATCCCATCGTGATTAGAGTTTTCCTTGAAAAATAGAGAGACGAGAATTATACAAGAGCACTTTTTGGCCGGGCTCAAATGTCTTTCTCAAAATGGATTTGTCATGGAAAATTTGTGCCCTTTCTTTGTGAATCCTAGAGCTCTCGTATGCATCTCTACGAATTTCCTCCTATTCATTTAACTCCAACTTCCTATGTTCTCCAACTATTCTCAAATTGAAATTCAAGGTTTTTATGGCCCAATATGCCTTGTGCTCCATCGCCACTGGCAAGTGACAGGCCTTGTCATAGACTAGCCAATAGAGAGACATACCAAGGATGGTCTTATAGGCAGTGCGGTAATCTCACAAGGCACCGATCAATCTGAATGACCAATCATTTTGATTTGTGTTAACCATTTTCTCTAGTATTCTCTTTATCTCCCTATTGGCCAACTTGACTTGGCCATTATTTTGTGGGTAATAAGTGATAGTCACCTTGTGTGTTACGCCAAATTTATGCATCAAAAAAACAAATGGTCTATTACAACAATGTGAACCACCATCACGTATCATTGCACGAGGTATCCCAAGCCTAAAAAAAAATATTTTCTTTTAAAAACTTGAGCATGACTCAACGGTCATTGGTCTTGGTTGGATTTGCCTTAACCCACTTGGACATGTAGTCCACTACCAATAGGACATAGAGGTAGCCAAAAGACATAGGGAATGGACCCATGAAATCGATGACCCAACAATAAAAGATTTCATTGACTAGCACGGGAGAAAGGGGCATCATGTTTCTATGGGTCACACTTCTTAACCTTTGACACCTATCACATTGTTTACAAAATGAGACACAATCTTTAATCAATGTAGGCCAATAAAAACCGCTTTGTAAAATCTTAGCTGAATTTTTCTTGGAAGAGAAGTGCCCACCAGATGCCTCAGAATGGTAGAAGGAGAGGACATCCCGTTGTTCATTTTTTGGTACACACCTCCTCATAACTTGGTCAGGGTAATAGTTGAACAGGTACAAGATGTAGAAGTAGAAGTACTTCACATCCGCCATGAATCTTCTCTTATCTTTTGGGCTCCAATGTGGGGGTATTTGTCTTCTAACAAGAAAATTGTAAATGTCAGCATACCACGGACAAACTGAATGGATAGAAAATAAATGTTCATTAGAGAAAAAATCAAGGATAGGGATGTGTTCTTCAGTGTCTTGTACAACAAGCCGTGACAAATGGTTCGCCACCACATTCTTAACTCCTTTTTTGTCCTTGATGATTAGGTTGAATTCTTAAAGGAGGAGGATCCACCTAATGAGTCTTGGTTTAGCATCCTGCTTAGACAACAAATACTTTAAAGCAGAGTGATCAGTGTATACTACAATAGGTGAACCAATTATGTATAACCTAAATTTATCCAATGCAAATACTACAACTAGTAACTCTTTTTCAGTGGTAGTGTCATTTATTTGTGCTTCATTTAGAGTTTTGTTGGCATATTATATTACATTTGGCCTTTTGTCTTCCATTTAATCTAGCATTGTGCTGATTGCATAATCACCCGCGTCGCACATGAACTCAAAATATAGTTCCCACTTGGGTGGTTGCATGATGGGAGGTGAAGTAAGCATACTTTTAAGTTTTTTGAAAGATACCTCACAATCATCCGACCACACAAAGGGTACATCCTTTGCTAGAAAATTTGTCAAAGGTCTTGCTAATGCACTAAAATCTTTAATGAAATGACGATAAAAACTTGTGTGGCCAAGAAACGACCTGATGTCTTTGACGACCTTTGGAGTGGGTAGGTTGGAAATTGCTTCCACTTTAGATTTGTCCACTTAGATTCCCTTTGTGGACACAATGTGTCCAAGCACAATCCCTTAGGTTACCATGAAGTGACACTTTTCCCAATTAAGCACCAAATTCTTCTCTTCACATCTCTCTAGAACTCTCTCCAAAATTTTCAAACATCCTTCAAACGAGTTCCCAAATACTGAAAAGCTATCCATGAAAAATTTCATAATCTTTTCCACCATATTGCTATATATCCCCATCATACATCTTTGAAAAGTTCTCAGGGAATTGCATAAACCAAGTGGCATTTGGTGATAGGCATAAGTACTAAAGGGGCACGCGAATGTGGTCTTCTCTTGATCCTGCAGGGTAATCTCTATCTGATTGTTGCCGAAGTAGCCATCTAGAAGCAATAGAAAAGATGTCTAGCTACCCTCTCCAACACTTGATCGAGGAATGGCAAGGGAAAGTGATCCTTTTGAGTGCATGAATTGAGTTTCCGATAATC